ACACTTCCTTGTGGCTGAAGCTGGGCCTAGGCAGGTTGAGTTTCTCTGCAGCTAATAAGCCTCTTCCCATTGTCTTCAGTGCCTTCTCTTAGAAGTTTGGTTTGGAGCAACCATGTGGTCCCACCAAATAGCTCTCCTGCCCCTTGCCCTGTTATGCCTCTGAGCTGCCAGGAGCTCAAGCACCAGTGTTTCTCCGTTGTTCCTTAGTGTACCTGAGAGTGACTCATAGAGGCAGTAATTATGAGCTCCTTTTGATCTACAGAGAAGGTAGATTTTGGGTCCTGTCTCATTTTTGGGATGCGAATCAAAGCAAGTGAAGCACTGCCAATCATAATGAGGCATGTGTTGTTCTCATCAGCCACAGAGGAACAAGTGCTGCATAATATGGCTTGAACAGACCAGAGTATTTAATTGGGACTGCCCACCTCCATCAAGATGAGGTCCCTCTTGAGAGCACTGTGTATTGGCTTGGCCTCACAGCAGTGAATGATGCCTGTCAGTTCAGCTGATGATGTCTGCCTAACTGTTCTGGTTTTGCTATACAGATTCAGTGTCCAGCATGTGTGGGATGCGCTTGCTTCACCATCGCAAAAAAAGGATCATAGGCGGAAACAAGTCCCTCAGGTATTGTCCTCTGACTGCTGGAAAAGGTACAGCTGGCATCAGCTGTCCTGCAGGCTCTGGGCAGGGGAAGCAGGTGCCAGGCCTGATCAGAATAGGATGTACCAGCCCTTTAGAGAACCCTGTGCCCTCACCACAAATATTGGCTTCAGTTCTTTCCTTATATCTTAGGGACATCCCCAGTGAGTTCTGATTTTTCAATGGCATGCTACATAACCAGTGTAGCTTTGACAGCCCTGGTACTGAACACCTCTAGCTATCCACAGAATGGGGGCATCAACCGCGTAAATTTACTCGACATGGTTTATAATTCGTGGCCTTTCCATAAGCAATCATGGCCTCTCTGCTGATTCTGTTGGGGAAGACAGGCAGTGCCAGGTGTGAAGATGTTTTCAGTGACTGAGATGAAACAAAACCACTGGATTGACTCACTTCATACAGGCCCATATACTTATAATGACTTCAGGTCTCTGCTGACCTGGCCCAAATTGTAACTGATGCCTGTCCCAGCCTGTAACAATATGGAGTGAGGGTTATGACAGAAGTTTAAGTTGCCATCAAGATCCTAATTTAGTTGGAACACATTACACAGAGCAAAGTAATAATCTTCCTGGTCCCCTGAGGTAGTATTTAGCTGTAACAGTGGTAGGCTGTTATCAAGGATGGGTCACTGTTATGCTAATTTCTCTTATAATCATAACTATGAGTAATTAATCCAAAGGGAAGGGTTACTAATAACATTTTTTTTCTAATGCTGAGCTGAACAAAAAAGTAGATGGTTGCAAAACTATGAACGGAGTATAGAGATTCTTATGCAGGAATCAGCATATCAAAATATGCCCACCTGATAGTTGAATCTAAATCATCTGTTTAACTGGGCAGTGCCCAGATTTGCTTTTCTCCAATAAATACAGCTCAGCACACTGCCATCCAGGGTCACACAATTGCCCATTTTTCTGTCCTGGGTCAGGGGTGGGGAAAAATCTTACATCTTTCCCAAACACATCTGGTGCTGGCCCCCATTGGAAACTGGTCAGGTGTGGCCATTCCCTTGTTCCTGTTTAAGTGCATCTACAGGAAGACTTGTAAAGTACCAGCAATGGCTTTTCTTTCCCAGCTTTGCTCTCCTGTGGTGCAGTTGTTCTACTAAACTTAAACCCCTGAGGACTCCAAGATGCTTTCTCTGAATGGTTTCTTCATGTTCAGTCCTACCTTGTCTGTTTAAAGTAACAGTGAGGTTCAGGCTCTACCTGACTCTTAACTGCTATCCACAAAGCACTGGAGAGATGCTTCGAATTGCATTTATGGTTCCTTCTTTTTTGCATTATCTCATCTGTGTGTATTCCAAAGTACCCAAAGGAAAATGTGTCAGTGTTTCATAGTTTCATAGTTAGTAGGGTCGGAAGGGACCTGATCAGATCATCAAGTCCGACCCCCTGCCACAGGCAGGAAAGAATGCTGGGGTCAGACGACCCCGGCAAGGCGTCTGTCTAGCCTTCTCTTAAAGACCCCCAGGGTAGAAGCGAGCACCACTTGCCTTGGAAGTTGGTTCCAGATCCTAGCCACCCTGACTGTGAAGTAGTGCCTCCTGATATCCAGCCTGAATCTACTCTGTCAACTTATGGCTGTTATTCCTTGTTACCCACTGTAGTGCTCAGGGGAACAGGGACTCTCCCATTGCCTGCTGGTCTCCCTTGGCCAGTTTATAGGTGGCCACCAGATCCCCTCTCAGCTTTCTCTTGTGGAGGCTGAACAGATTCAGATCCCGTAGCCTATCCTCATAGGACCTCCCCTGCTGCCCCCTGATCATGCGAGTGGCCCTCCTCTGGACCCTCTCAATGTTGTCCACATCCCTCCTGAAGTGTGGCGCCCAGAACTGGACACAGTACTCCAACTGGGGCCTGACCAAGGTCGCATAGAGGGGGAGGATCACCTCCTTGGACCTGCTCGTGATGCATCTGTGGCTGCATGACAAGGTGCGGTTAGCCTTTCTGACTGCATCCCCACATTGGTGGCCCATGTTCATCTTTGAGTCAATAATGACTCCAAGATTCTTTTCTGCCTCTGTGCTGATGAGAGGGGAGTTCCCCAGCCTGTTGCTGTCCTCCTGGTTCTTCCTCCCCAGGTGCAGTACCTTACACTTGTCAGTGTTCAAACCCATCCTATTCTCATCCGCCCACCTCTGTAACCTGTCCAGATCTGATTGTAGCTTGTCCCTCCCCTCTAGCATGCCCACCTCCCCCCACATCTTAGTATCATCTGCGAATTTGAACAAGGTGCTATTCACCTCCTCGTTCAAGTTGCTGATGAAGATGGTGAACAGCGCAGGCCTGAAGACAAAGCCCTGGGGGACCCACTGCCCACATTCCTCCAGGTCAAAAATAACCCGTCCACCACCACTCTCTGGGTTCAGCCCTCCAGCCAATTGGTGACCCATCTGACCGTGTAGGAATTGACACCACAGTCATCTAATTTTCTAATGGGGATGGGGTGAGAGACAGTGTCGAAGGCCTTCCTAAAATCCACAAAGACTACGCAGCTTCCCCAGGACCGAGGTAAAACTAACAGGCCTATAGTTTCCTGGGTCCTCCCTCCTCCCTTTTTTGAAAATGGGGACCACATTGGACCTCTTCCAGTCCTCTGGCACCTCACCAGAGCGCCACGAGTGCTTGTAAATCTGTGCCAGGGGTCCCGCAATGACCTCTGCTAATTCCCTCAGCGCTCTGGGGTGGAGATCTCTAGGACCTGCTGATTTGGACGCATCCAGTCCCACCAGGAGGTCCCTGACTAGGTCCTCTGGCTGTGCCTCCCCTGGGACCGTCAGGGATCATGATGGGGGGATGACCTGGTCCCTGCTCAGAAAAATGGAGGCAAAGAAGTTGTTAAATAAGTTAGCTTTGATGTCTGGTGCAACCACCAGACTTCCTAGCGTGTCCTGCAGAGGCCCCACGTTACCCCGAACCTTCTTTTTACCCCCTATGTATTTAAAAAAGTATTTCTTGTTGTCCTTGATCTGGGTTGCTAGTCCCAGTTCCATCTTCACCTTGGCCTTCCTAACAGCCCCCCTACAATCCTGAGCAACAGAGGTATAGTCCTCCCTGGTGATGGCCCCTCCCTTCCATTGGGTGTACGCCTCCTTTTTAGCCTTGAGACGTTCCTGGATGCTTTTTGTTAGCCATGGGGGATTTTGAGCACTCTTGCTCCCTTTGACCCTTGTTGGGATTGCCACCCTTTGAGCTTGGAGGATCGTCTCCTTAAGGAACGAAGTGTCATCACCACTTCCCCCCATCCCCCAAAACACATACGTAGTTACCTGCCCGATTCTATTCCAGGTTGATTGCTGGTTTCTTATTCCAGAGGCAAATGCAAGGAACCCAGGCTTCCTTTCCTGCCTTCCCCAGAGACATGGCTGGCAATATTGAGGGTCTCAGAAGAGACTGCTGGGGCCTGATTTTTGTTGTACTCCTTAAACCCTTTTCTGCATTACAGAGTTCTGCTAGCAGGGCTGTCTTAGGTAAGGATGTGAAAGGATCACATGCCATGCTGTAGTTGGGCCAGCAAAAAATGGCCTCTGCCAGCCTGACCGTTGCCATCCAGGGAAGCTGGTGTAACTCTAGTGTCAGAAAAACTTCTGACAGGAGACCTGCATCTACACCTGGGAGTCTGTCTACCAACCTGCTGGCAGCAGCCCCCACAGTGAAGACCTAGGGATAGTTAGGTTATCTCCAGTGGCAATTCCTGAAGTTGACCTTTGAGTAAAGGGCTGCTTGGATGGAGAATGAGAGGAGAGATGGGGCAGATCAGGGAGACTGGAGAGGAAAGCACTGCCCCCTTGTGTGTGCATTTGTGTACACCCCTAATGACCTCTCTTCTTCAGGGGAGGTTGGCCATGGCAAGCATCGCTGCGGCTGAAGGGGTTTCACAGAGATGCACGTCTGCTGTGTGGAGCGACCCTAATCAGCAGCTGCTGGGTGGTGACTGCAGCACATTGCTTCAAAAGGTTGGTGGCGAGGGTTGTGCGACCTCCAATGCTTATTAAGGAAAATTCAACCACTTGCCCTCCCCAATGGGAACCCATCACAAGGATCTCTGAGAAAAAGAATGCTTATTACCCTCTGTCCTCTGAATACCTGAAAGAGCCATTAGCTCTTAATAATCCCAGTAGTGTTGAGACAAGCTTTGACACAAGGGTTGCTGTTTGTGATGCAGGATGTCTTTGGTGGCTGCATGGGGATAAGTGCATATAACCCTGGCAGTGGTGCTACCCACAGCCACGTCCAACTTTTTAGGATCCTGGGGTGCCAATAGGTCTTGGTCAATTCCCACTCCATCTACAGGCTGGGAGCCACCACTCAGTGGAGTGCTCTCGTCTGGTTCTCCCCACACCAGACCATACACTAAAAGACTGTTTACAATAATGTATTATTTACAATAGTAACTGAGAAATTAACAGGTTCAACATCACGTAGATAACAAACATTGTATTTTCAATGAGCTTGATAATACTTTATACCAGCAAATAGAAGCAAATACTTATCATATAGCAAAAGCAATTATGTTATCAAATTTAGCACTCAGGCAACTTATAACAGGTATATACACCTAATCAGCCAGATCCCCACAAAATCACTCTACCAGAGCAAAGCAATCAACTGTGAGATGGTTGCAGTTGAGCATCCCTAGAGCTGTGCTCACTCTGCCTCAGAAGAGGTGTGGCAATGCTGACGTCTGGTCAGAAGATGGAGTTGTCTGTCAGGACCTTGGGTGCAGCTGCTCCTGAGACCGGGGTTTCTTCCCTTTTCCAGTCTTTCCTTGATACCTGCAAACAATCACAGCTTCCCCAAGGCAGCTCCCCTGTGTTTGGTACCTGGAGTGCCCCTTCTCGGCTGTACTTTATTGAGCTCTCTCCTGGAGCTCCCACAAAGTCAAGGTTGCCTGCTACTTTCTTTAGCTCTCCCAGGGAACCTTCTCTAGCAACTAGTTTCCCTGATTTGCTCCCAGTGAATCCTTGCACCCAGAGAACTAAAGAGTGGGGAGAGGAACCGGTTTGCACAAACCCTGCTCCTTTTAGCAAAGCATACCAGGTGATCCTGGGTACTCAGTAGCTTATGGCTACTCTGCCCTCAGTAGCAGCTCACTCAGCAACAATTCTTCTGCCAGTAGTCCTCTCAGAAGCAATTGTCTTGGTAGCAGCTCCCTTCAGAAACAGACCTTCTGCCTACAGCCCTCAGCTACACTCTCTCCAGGACCTCTCCCTCCCTTGCCCTCCCCCGGCTTCTGGCCCGGGAGTTGCAGCTGTCCAATCCCCCATGCATGCATTCCGCAGCCTTCAGCTCCAAGCTTCAGCTGGTTATCTTGCTGCTATATCTGCGTGCAAATATAAATCTGTGTGAAGCCTGCTTCAAATCCACATCCCAATGGTACAAACACCCTGATTGGGCTTGCAAGCCCTGAGCAAACCCTTCAGCACCTTTACATGCATAAGCCAATGTATCTTTGCTTTATCTCTCAGTGTCTAAAGTGTTACAGCTTTGAACGAGTATGCATTTTACTGTCCTGTCAATAGCTTGAGGAACAGTAAACTGCAGAGATTGAGCCTGAAATGACTGCGAACAATGTATTACAGCTAATTCTGTAGAGGGGAGCCAGGAAGCCCATTTGTATATGCCAGTCAACAACTGTGTCTTTACCTGCTTAAACTGCCATTTTTCTTGTTTTTACTTTGTGGGGGAGTAAGAAGAGCTGGCTCTGACAGCCAAAGCCATTGCCTGGCACACCAGTGGGCACCACAGAAGTAAGAAGATCTTTGACAATGCAGTGTCTCTCAACTCAGTAGCAAGACAAGGTTCCTTGGGTGAATCTGATATCTTTTATTAGACCAACCCAAATAGTTGGAAAATAATTATTAAGCAAGCTTTCGGGTTCAAAAACCCTTCGTCAGGCTAAGGAAGTTTCAGCAGTTGGTGTGTGCTCTTTCTGGATGGAATGAAAAGTAAAGAAGCCAGCGGCTGGGCTGGTGTGCATAAAAGACAGGTAGTCAGTGAAAATATAGATAGGAGTCAATGGGTGAGAGACAGGCTGGGGAGGAGGGGAAGAGAGAGAAGGGGGATGAAAGTGGAGAGATATATGGGGAGTCAGATGTCAGGCAGGTTATAATGTGTCATAAATCCAATGTCTATGTTTAGTCCATGATTTTTAGTATCCAGGAGGTTGATGAAGTGGAGTTCATAGGCTCGTCTCTGGGAAGTGTTTTGTAAGTTTCCTTTGAGGATCAGGACTGAGAGATTGGAGAGAGAGTGGTTTCCTTGGAGAAATGTGTCCCCACAGGTAATTGGGTATTTCTGTCTTTGATAGATTTCCGGTGTGCATTCATTCTGGTGCACAGTTGTTGTTTGGTCTCTCCTACGTATTTTCTATTAGGGCATTTGGTGCATTGGATGAGATATATTACATTTTTGGAGGTGCAGCTGTAAGATCCTGGGATGCTGATGGCTCTGTTGTGGGGTGTAGTAATAGTGGGGGTGGTGGAGATGTGTGAGCAGGTTTTGCATTTCTTGTCATGGCATGGTCTGGATCCTTTTGGTGTGTTCTGGGCTTGAGGAAGTTTGCTTCTGGTGATGAGGTTAGTTTGTGAACTCAAGATCTGATCTAGAGCATGGTAGCATAAATGGGCTCCCCACTAGATTTTCTTATAAAGTTTCCAGACCATTGTGCAGTACTTTCTATGTGACCTGAAAAAAATTCTCTGGCCCAGAGGCCTGAGCACAGGTGGGCAAGAGGAATTAGGAGGGAAGAAAACCCCATCATCATGGCACAATGTGTCCTAAATTTGAAGCTCATGGAATGGAATTGGAAGGCTGTAGTTACCTCATTGACTCCTCACACCTGTTTACCCAAAACCTGCTTTTCATACGTTTTGACTGCTTGATGCAGTGGTTAGTTGCAGGAACTTCAATGCATGAAGGCCACCAAAGTTGATGTTTCCTAACCAGTTAGCTTCCTCCTTTTGTTGTTGGGGCTGTCAGCACATAAAGGGAGGGGCCTGACCTAGAGAACCCAGGTATCTATAGTATGTAACTTCTCTGACCTTTCTGCTTTAATAAAGTCATTGTACTTCTTTTTTTGAATTTAATAAATGAGAGATCATGTATATTTATATTTTGGGATAGTTCCCTATCTAAATGAGTGACAGTGGTTTGAAAAATCCATTGAAAGGCCTCATTACTACAAATCATTGTTTGTGTTGATCAGAAAGACTTTCACTATGAATTTGCATAAATGGTTATAAATCTACATGTCTTGTGATGCATACAATACCGAGTGGTGCTTTACTGCCAGTAGCCATTAAGGTTCTTGAGTTGATGGATTCTTTATTCAGTTCTCTGTCCAAGCAGAAAAGTCACTGGCCTGATATGACTTCTTAGTCACCTCACAATTGTACCGCAGTCTTTTTAGTGACATCTCTGTTAAAACTCATTCTGGGTATTTCATATTCAAAGCACATCAGATTCACTGCAGTCAACCAGTCTTATGGCATAAGAGGATACTTAGCAATAATTCTGAAATAATTTTAGAATTGCATCACAAATATATGATCACATCTTAATGATAATGCCATAATTTTATGGTCTCATAAAACACAGCTCGCAGAATCCAATATGTGGGGTTGCATTACTGGCTGCATTGTGTTTAGTTTGTGATTTGTAATGTTCATTGTTATGATGTCTTGCTTATGTGTTTACTGATGGATTTTAGTAGTATTCAGAACTTGACATGGTGGTCAGTAAGTTAACTGGGCGTTTATAGATAAAAAAACAATGTGTATTAAGACTGGGAGAGCAATAAATGTTTCATACATTATTCACATGTTTGCATTATGCTTTGGTTCATGCTGTCATTCTCTGTTTCTCATGGCTGATGATTGTTATTCTTGTAACTTTTTTCAAAAAGAATCCTGTGTAATTTTAAGACAATGTCATTAAGATCCTTATGGATTTGTTCATAGACATGTGAGAGAAAAAATATTAACATGGAGGAATAATATGTTATGTTAACACCTCTTTTAATTGAAAACTCAGGTTTCTTATTTTTAAAGGGATGCGGTCAGTGCAAAAATCACACTTTTATTTCTGTGATTTTTTTAAAATTGATGTAATCCCACAGATTTTTCAGTTATAGTAAATACTTTCTAAAGCTATTTATCTTACTTGTTTTGGGGATTTGTCTGCCCTGTCTATAATTTTACTGTGTCCTTATGTGTATAGAGATTTTTTACAGTTATTTGGATAGACAAGTATTTAAAAAATTGTGATTACAGAATAGCAGGGTTTTTTGGAGATAAGCTTTGTCCTGAAGCTGTTTTTAATTAAAAAAAAAAATTGTCCCTTTGACATTAATAATCCATAGTAATGCTTACTTTATTAATATTGACAATTATATTGAGCATAGTTATTTTTTCCTTTTTGATGTCTGCTGTTTCCTTTATGGACTAAACATAGACATTGGATTTATGACACATTATAACCTGCCTGACATCTGACTCCCCAGGTATCTCTCCATTTTCATCCCCCTTCTCTCCAGGTATCTCTCCACTTTCATCCCCCTTCTCTCCCCCCCGCCCCAGCCTGTGTCTCACCCATTGACTCCTCAATCTACATTTTCACTGACTACCTGTCTTGTATGCACACCAGCCCAGCCGTTGGCTTCTTTACTTTTAATTCCATCCAGGAAGAGCACACACCAACTGCTGAAACTTCCTTAGCCTGACGAAGGGTTTTTGAACCCGAAAGCTTGCTTAATAATTATTTTCCAACTATTTGGGGTGGTCTAATAAAAGATATCAGATTCACCCAAGGAACCTTGTCTGCCTATGTCCTTAGACCAACACAGCTACAACCTACACCCCTGTAACACAGTAGCAAAGCACTTGTGTCCAGGCAATAGAAATATGACTTCATTTTGGGTGGCTCCATGTCTCTTGGACAGGTTTGGCATTGATGTGCGCCGTTACTTGCTGCGAGTGGGTGATTACCACACTGGTGTGAAGGATGAGTTTGAGAGAGAGCTGCCTGTGGAGAGGATCGTCCTTCACAGGACCTACCAGTCCAGCAGCAATGATAATGACATTGCCCTGGTCAGGATGCGGGGCAGGGATGGCCACTGTGTATCCTTCAATCGCCACGTTGTGCCTATTTGCCTCCCTGACAGGAAGGAGAAGTCTGCCATTAACCGCCAGGTCTGCATCATCTCGGGATGGGGAGACACAGGTGAGTAAGGGGCTAGATGGTCACCCTGGGGGAAGCCTTTAGGGGCAAAAATGCAAATGCTGGAATAATCCCAGGAGATAGGGCACTGTTGGAGAGGGAAGAGCCCACAGAAGAGGATGGGTAGAGGAATAGACTGAATTCCATGGGGCTGAATTAAAACCTAAGTATAGTATAGACAAGATGATGGGAGCAGCCCAGTCGTCATACACAGCACCTGGGATCAGTAGTGTGCACTGGTTCTGATTTATGTCTAGGTGCAAGTCAGGGTCACCTCCCTAACTGTCTTATTCTCTTCCTACCCTAAATGCACAGGGGAAGGGAAGCAGGGACAAAGGTGCCTTTGTGCCATGGGGTGTTTCCTTTTTTCGGGTGCTCTCTTAGGGTCTGTGTGGCTCATGGTGCAAGTCAAAGCAAGTGGAGAGTCCTTGGAGCTGTGGGGAGAGGAAAATGCTGCCAAATATGGTCATCCGTGTGCCCACACAGCCAGCATTTAGATGGAAGGCCAGGTACAACACTTGTACTTGTAACAGGCTGGGAGACCTCTATGTTACTCCTGTGTATATTTCCACAGCTTCCTCCCTCTTTAGGCTACTGGAGTGGTAGAAATGGTTGATGGGAATAAAGAGTCAATCCAAGAGTGTTTTATTCATAAAGTCCCTTGCTCCTGGGTGAATACCCAAGACGCCATCTTTCTCCCTATGCACTAGATAGCTTTTCACACAGGCTGGATAACTCTTGCCAGCACCCAGGGCAGACTTTAGCCCTGGAGCTGGCAACAGGGTATTCTTAATAGGATTCAGAAGTGTGCTTCATCTGTCTGGTGCAGCCCAGTGCTACGTGATGTTGCTGTCAGGCTTCCCCTGTGCTGTATGAAGTGTAAATGCACCCCAAGGTCATTGTAGAACTTAAGTCCTCTGAGAAGTTTAGGAGATGGTGTCAAGCCCTGTGACCAGCTGTCCTGTCTTCCCCAGCTGTAGTGCAGAGCCTGGCTGGGGGAAACTTAGCTGAGACTGCTCTTGCTGAAGCTGATCTGTGCAGACATGCTGTCAAAGGCAAATACACCCAGAAATCTGTCTGTTGGTTTTGGAGCCTCTGTTCCCTCCCAGATGTCTCTCTGGCTGTTGCCCAAATGTTTAAGTGCAAGTATACATTTGCCTTTGGAGCCAGTGGTCCAGGGGCAAGTGTGGAGGGTGGTGAACGATTTAGCTACTCAACTTCCACTGGATTTAATGGGATTTGTGGAAAGAACTCCTCCTTCCTTTGAAGAGAAGCAGTCCTTTGAGAGATCATCTCTGGAGGACGTTTCACTCTGCAGCATCTTATCTATCCTGGCATTCAACAGCTGCAGTGAGGTAACTGGCCTTTTCCCCTCCAGAGTTCCTTGTGCTCAGCTAAAAGGAGCCTGCATAGGAAACAAAATTGAAGTGCTGCTTGATGGCATCTTTCTGGTATATATTGTAAAGAAGGCTTGAAATTAATGTTTCTTTCTGTAAATTTCTTCAGTGGGAAGGAGCTCCTAAAAAGTGGGGGTGGTGTCTTTTCTTCCATGGACTGTGTCTAAGATTAAGTTATTAGAAGGAAAAGAGATTATTAGACTGTTTACAACTATGTTTTCATTACCATAATATCTGTGTAGTTCAGAGTGTTGGAGAGAAAAGCCCTTTCTGTGAAAGATTCTACAGAAACCCCATTTCAACTGACAGAGCTGTCTAGCAAAAACATGGGAAATAAAGAATAGGTCTTCCTGCTTTTTCTAAAATGGAGGAAAAAATAGGTGGGGGGGCGCAGGAACCTCCTCATGAGTCTTATGAGGATTATTTAGTTACTACCTGTGTCTTGAAGTATTCTGTCACTTTAAAGCAGTGATTTTCAACCAGGGTGCTGGTGAGACTCTTTTGAGGTTAGATGTGCAAACACCTACATAGGATTTACAAGATAAACCCATAAATTCCAAACAGGAATCTGTAGTGTCAAGAGCTTTTCAACCTGGTGTGTTCTGAGTTCTGTACAACAGAAGAATTGCTCTATTATTTTCCCATAGTCAAAAAACAGTGAAGCTGAGAGCTAGCATTTTCCAAGGCCTTGAGTCTAAAAAGGTTGAGAATCACTCTTTTAATATCTTGATCATGCAGCTCCCATTGCAGAGCACCAGTTTTTCTAAATGTAGTTGTAGTTATCCAAGGCTGATGGCCCTGCAGGCACTTTGCTTCAGTTTCTGTTTTAGCTCTAGAAAGAATACACTTGCACACAGAGTTTTTAAAAACAACATTCCCAGCTCTTGAATATTTCCATTTGTGACCTCCAGGGCTTGTAAACTTTCCATTCACATTCAGGATCATCACAGCCTTTCTTTTGGTGCCGCTTCCTGGGGTGACTCAAAGACTGGGCTTCAATCAGCAGCCCAGTCATCTAATCATGCCTTTACTTCTCTCCATTTGAGTCTAATAACTCCAAATATGTGTCCAGATAGGTTTGCAGAGTGGAGCATTGCCCCACCCATTCTACAAGGCTTCTGATCTTGGGCCTCAAAGGACCAATGGCTTGGGATTCAGCTCTCCTCCCCATTCCAAACATCACTTGTTGCCCAGCTCCATCTTCCTCTCCCCTAGTGACTATGTCAGGTACTGCCTTGGCCTTAATCAGACTTCCTTGCACACGGGATGGTTTTGCAAGGTAGCCGTCCTGGTCATAAAGGCTCAGTAGCCCACTGCAGGGGTGTAGGCCAATCCTTCTGTTCCACTTTTTCTATCTTGCTGTCTAATCCTTTATCATGGATTTTGTTTTCCATTTCTTTTGTTGTTGGTTTGGTCTGAAAAGATGAGTGAGTCCAAATTCTTTGAGCAGCCTTGGGGATGGGATGGGAGAACTTGGCCTGATTACCAACAGCAATGCCATTCTCTCTGAGTAGAAATATATGCCCCAGATACCTTCCTGCTGCACAGACTGCCAGGGAGTTCACCCACAGGAGATTGGGGCTAGGTTTGTCTAAAGTAGAGGTGGGCAAAATATGGCCCACAAGCCAGCCCACCAGTTGATTGTATCTGGCTCATGGCTGCTCCCACGGCACTATGCATGTGTTGAGCCCCACCCGGTCCTGCCCAGGCAGCATACGCCACACTCCCACCCATACCTGCTTCATGTCCAGTGGCGATGCATAGGGGGTGCACAGGGGTGCATGTGCACCCCCTGAGAGCACTGGTGCATCCTCTCACAGCCAGCATTCCCTGCTTAGGCAACAGGCGGGGAGGGCAGGTGGGAATGCTGGTGCCCCCCTGAAAGTGCCGGCCAGAGTGGGGGGTGCCAGGAGAAGTGCTGCTGGCCCTTCCAGGTGTGTTGCTGGCACTTCCGGGTCAGTGCGATCAGCTGCAGGGGGACCCTGCCCCCCAGTCACTGACTGGCTTCTCGGGGGGCAAGTGACTCAGGATGCACCAGTCACCCATGGTCAAGTCCACTGACGACACTGCTCCAGCCTGGAATGATAAGCAGCTACCTGTGGGCTGCTGAGTGGGTGGAAGGCAGCTGGGAGCCAGAGCTGGAGCCCTGACTGCTGGGGCAGGAACTGCCCAGCTGCAGCTTCCCCCCTGCCTGGCTGGGCGTGTGGTGCCCGGCCTGTGTTCCCATAGTCGCTGCCACTTGCCACTACCTGCTTCCCCCTCTCCCAGGACCAAGTGTGCTGGTAATCCTAAATATACCCACCCCCCTCACACACACAGCCTGCCACACCTACCCACAGGGGCAGCTCTGGGCCAAGAGTGGGGAGGTGCAGACCACACCAGCACCTGCACCACCTAGGCAAGCTTTGCTGCATGCACCCCCTGCCCTCTTCCCCCTCCCCCACTCCAGCTGGCTCCTTAAGACTATTTTGAGTTATTTTGCAATCATCTCTATATACACTACTCAAAAATCATAAATCAGGACAAAAATATTTTTTGAAATTAAATTAAAATATGTTATAGCAGATGTTTGATTTTTAGTATACAATTTGGGGGTTTTTTAATGTGTAATTTGTTAAAATGATATCTTCTGAAAGATTTTGTGTGTGTGGCACTCAACAGGTCACCAAAACTCATTAAGTAGCCCACCAGTTGAAATAATTGCCCAACCTGATCTAAAGTGACTCTCAGCCAGCAGCGGCTGCAGCGGGAGTAGTCCACTTGTAATACCCTAGTTTTAGTGACAACTGGGCCACAGGTTTAGCCTGGCTGTGAGAGGCCTTTTTACCTTTAGATTAGCTCTCTGAACAGCAAACTGTGGGCTCTGTCTACTGTGCTGGGCCTGGCCTGGCCTGGCACAGGCCTCCAGTACATTTTCTGGTATGTAGATATGGACAGTAGATCTTAAGCTCTAGTAAAAGCCAAATAATATAGCACAATAGCAACTACTCTGAGCAAGAGATTCATGGGAATAGAAGCAAGTCTGACTGTGGCTGTGCCATACTCAAATATTATAATACTTAGTGCCTATGGAGTGCTTTCCAAACCTGATCTGAGGACTAATTGCTTTACCAGCAGTAATGGATTTAACCTGTAAGATGTCCTTATGAGGAACATATTGCCCCCATTTTACAGATAGGGAAGCTGAGGCACAGAGCAGCAAAGTGACTTGCTCAAGTTCTAAGAGCCAGGAACAGCATTTGGGTCTTCCATCTCTGCAGCCTTATGATTTAGCCTCAAGGCTACCCCTCCTGTAGCTCCTCCCTGTCTGTTTGGTGATGCAGCTCTCATCTTGCTCTTCAGAATTCACCTTAGGGCTGGTCGGTAGCAGAGGATGGGATGCAGTGCAGTGTGAGTCTGTGGGCAATAGGTACTGTAGCTCTGGCTGCTACTGTTTTCTCTGTGGTGAGTTGTGCTGGTCTTTCTCATCTGTTCCAGGGAAGTCCTATTCCAGAACATTACTGCAGGGTGTGGTGCCCCTTCTCCCAAGAGAAGATTGCGAGACCCGCTATGGAAGCAAGTTCACTAACCGGATGATTTGTGCTGGAAACCTCTCTGAAGATAAGCGTGTGGACAGCTGCCAGGGTGACAGTGGTGGACCACTCATGTGTCAAAGGTCAAATGGACGCTGGGTCATTCTGGGGATCACGTCCTGGGGTTATGGGTGTGGCCGAAAGGACTCTCCCGGTGTTTACACAAAAGTTAGCAAATTTGTACCCTGGATCAAGAAAGTGACCAAGTTGAAATGAACACCTGTGAGCCTTGTGACCTTCAGCGTTGGATTCTTTTTGCCACTTCAGAATTAAAATATTGGCCAGTACATGAGAAACAGCTGCCTTCTACCTCCAGAGGGGGCTGCTGCTTCTCTGTATCTGATAGGGATCTGTTTTGTCTTAGTGGTTTAATTTTTGTCTCAGTGTTCAGAGGAAGCAATTATGTTTGACTATTGAAAGACCTTGTTTTACCTTCAGTCCCAAAATCTCTGAACCAGGAAAGCAGATATGAATGACAAGATGGATGCTTCTGTTCCTCCAGCTATCTGAATCCTGTTGAATAGTATTGCTTAGTTCCTCTACTCCAGAACACAGAGGTGATGGGAGTGGGGAACAGGCTTCTGTCAGGAAATCTCTCCCCCACTTCTTGCATGTTCATCCACTTGGCCAACACTGCCAGAAGAGGTGGAACACCTGGTGAGTGGGGACCGCAAGGTGCTGCTGTGGAGGAGATCTTCAGAGGAGGCTGCTCTCAGCCGCTTCTCTGCATCACCCCTCAGACAGCAGGACTGTGGAGGGGAACAGGGAGAGGAGGCTGTGACTGTCTTGCTTCTGCTCTCCCCAAGTCAACAGGGTGTAGTTTCTCCTTTTCCATGGCTGAAGGAGGCATTTGCTCTCTCCTGAGTCTTAATTTCACTCTCCTGCAGTCCCTGTGAACATCTCTATCCTTCCTAGATGTTCATCCTTCCACAATCACCCCAATCACTCCTCATTCTCAGTGCTGGAACTTCTCTGGTTTTATTGCTAGGCTTGTGCTACTCAGTGTTTTTCCTTAAAGCCCCAGGTGCTGGAGTCAATCTTCATTGTAAAGAGAGAGGATATATCTAGCCCTCATGGTTGTCAACAAAAGCTTGAAGATGTGACCCCCTAACAGGCCCAAAATGAAAAGATTAATAAAAAAAAAAACAGAAAAAAACCCCTCCAAATGTGCTGGCAAAGCTAAATCTCAAATGTTTGCATGACTGGGTCAAGATGACAGCAGTGTAGAGAATTCCTCTTGGTACTTGATCTGTATTAGGTACTTATCTGGGCCCCCATCCCCACAGCAAATGAATGCCAAACAATATTTAATGATTTTAACCTCACAACACTTGCTGTCTGCTCAAGTTGGGGAAATGCTATAGTTCCCATCACAAGTGGGGAACCAAGACAGAGAAACTGAGTGACTTGCTCACAGTTGCACAGGAAGTTTGTGGCAAAGTGGGGTATTTGGCTTGTTGAAGCCCAGGGTCACATCCAAACTGCTGAACAGCCTTCCTGTCTGTGTTTCTCTGCAGTCTGACTTTTTTCATGCCTCTCAGAAGACACAGGGTTGGATCCTCAGCTGATGTGGACTCTGACTGATATAGCTGCTTACACCAGCTGTGGATCTGGCTTGTAATCTCAGCATTAATGGAACCGATGTAAGGTTAAATGAAAACAAGGTTGTTGGGTACTTGTCAAGACTTTCCCGACCTTGTTTGTTCTCTTGAGTGAGAAGAACAGCAATGTGAGAAACACCTAGGTATTTGAGTTAACTTACTTTTCTTAACTGTCTGCCTGTTTCTAAACAGAATGCAGGCAAGCCAGTTAGTTCAGAATATAAGGAGTGTTCACTGTACACAGAAGAGCTGGGGAGCAAAGGAGCCCTATCTGAGCTGAAGACATCATTATGATATGATGCCTTGGCTGTGCTGAGACACCTACATTTGAAGAGACACAAGCAGGTTAAAAATTAGATGTTTTTTATGAGCAGATGTCTGAGCCCGTGCTAAATTGCTCAGTTCATTTTCCCCTCTCTGAACGAAGTATAGGATGGTTGGGTTGCAGCAGGATGCGTGTTGAAAAATCCTCCAGGAAATTCTCTTTTAAGCAGAATTCCTTGAGCTGTGTCTTTTGGTCTTAATAATGGTAAAAGCTTTCGCCCAGCACATGCAGCAGCTGGCTTCATTCCCCCAGTAATTCAAATGACAGGAAAATGAGGAAGCGGATATTTTCTAGGATCCTGGTCTTTGCCGTAGAGCGAATTGTCCACCTTCCGCAAAGATAGTGCAAGGAGCTGATTGGATGACACACTGAGGATTGGCTTTTGCATGGGTCTGACCCAAGACAAGAGACTTCTTAGCTCAAGTGGAAGTGTTGCTTCTTTGGCTGCTGCCACCTGTCCGTTATAACCTTGCTGAGTTGATCCTCCCATGCCTATACTTCCTTCGAGCACAGTGGTTTCCTTACTATGGGAACAAGGCTTTTAACTAGTTCTAGAGAATGGCCCAGCTGGTGCAAGGTGTGGTTGATGTTAGTGACAATTAAGTTACTTTTTGCTGGATAAAGTCCAGCATCATCTCTTTGAATCTTACCATTTTCTGTCCTCCTCCGCTTTATCACCCACTGGATTTGTAAGAATTCTTCCAATAAGTCCCATGATACCATACAAGAAAGAGTGAGGGAGGAAGTAATATTTCTACTTCACCTCACTCATTTTTCATACTCTTTAGCAGTCCCCTATGCACAAGTCTATAGATGTTGTTCTTAATTCTTCTGAGTTACCTCTTCAGAACAGTACCACTTTCCTTTCCTACTAAAAATGGAATTGCAGGCCAAAATGACTCTTACTGCCTGTTACAGGGACATGTTGGAATTGGCAGACTTGATCAGGTCAATGTTAGATGGAAAAAGGAAGCTGCAAGAAACTGAACAATTATTTTCTAACCTCTCTTTGGGGGAAGTTTGCTCATGTGATTTATTTGTATTATCATAGCACTACAACCCCCATGATGCTAAGGACTGTACAAACAGAGAAGAAAAAGATTGTCCTCTTGTGCCTATCTTATGCCCTGAAGTATGGGGGATATAGAATCCTATCTAAAGTAATGAGTCTGTACTCTATATAAATGTTTGATCCTTTATTTAACCCAAATAAGCTCTTTGGCCTCAGTGATACATTCTGACAGTGGCAGTGTTTTATGCCCCTGCACAGCATATTATTCCTTTTTATTGCTTTTAAACATGCTGCTTTTAATTTTCACTGAGTGATGTCTGCTCTTGTGGTCTCTGCTATAAGTTTGGGTATGAGTGCTCATTTTATGCTCTGTCAACCATCCATTCTTTTATGGATGGTCTCATCTCTAAGCAGTCCCAATCTCTTCTGACAGACTGATCCAGCCCTCTAATAATTTGCTACCTCTCTCTGCTGGATCTTCAAAATTTAGTAATGAGAACTGAACCCAGTCTGCACCATCTCGTGATTATTTTCAGCATTATTTTCTGTCCCATCAGTCATAGCAGCTACTGCAATATAGAGTAGACATACCCAAGCTAGTGAGTTTAAAAGTTGTTTGCATACTGATAGCAGTCCAGCCACAGTAGCACATAGCTCAGCATGAATTATTTTAGCCTGCACTACAGGTAGATCATGTAGTTTACATAGACATTTCTGTGATTGGAGTAGCCATTGTGGCTAGGAACAGACATTACACATAAACCAGTTTAAGTGATTAGAAACTGGTTTAAACCTGTAACAGAATGGATGTTCAGTGTACATAAACCAGTTTGAAAATGGCTGAAACCAGTCTGAGATAAACCTGGTTGAATGTAATATCAGACTTAACTGTCCCAGACCCCTTCCTGGTTTAAGTTAAACCAGAGTCCCCCAGCATCCCAGCTGCTTTGCAGGGCTGTCTGCTGGAGCTCCTTCCTAGCCAGAGCACTGTCACTGTTCCGGTTGGCTGAGGGGCTGCAGTGGCTGCCAGGCTTCCCCCTCCTCAACACCCCAGTCCTTGCTGGCTGCCCAAGCAGGGATTCCCGCCTCCCGCCCCTCTACCATAGCAGGTACTCCAGCACAGGGACCTGGCATCTGGCCATGCCCCTCCCCATGCTACCTAATGCTTAAGGGTGTCTGTGTGGGTCTCTAATTTCACTAGAATAAAGGCAGACAGCTAGTGGATTGCAAATGCAAATGCATCCTGAAGATAAGAGCTTGAAATTAATGAGAGAGATGTTTTCTTTTGTAGGGCTTGATGTGTGGATAAACTGGCTGCAATCTGCCAGTCTTCAAGAGGGTACAGAGAAAGGTGTTAGAAATGATCTGGTTTGCAGACAGTGTGAAAAAACAGGGAGACAGAGATTGAAAAGCTCAGTATCAACAGATGCGCTCCCACCCTTTGAGCAGTCAGCAGGGAAAAGCCTCAGATGGTGCAGGCAGGGTGAGAGGTTTACACTCCTCCCTAATAATCAGAGCATCTTACTAGGGCCTGGCCATGCCCTCCCCCTCAGCTCAGCACTATGGAAGGAAAAGGAGGGCTGCCCTAGCACCCCCCCCCCACCATCTAGCCTGGGCCCCTGCCTCGGCCTGATGAAAAGGGAATGTTTATCCACCTCCAAATCGGTTCAAGCTTTGCAGGTTAGACTAACCTGCAAAGACTGAATCAATTCAGGCTCAGGCTTTTTGAATGTCTGTCTCTAGCCTATGTGATACTACATGGCAGAAGATCAAACAGCAATGTGACACACATTGGGAATTTGCTGTGCTAAGACCAAGTAGAAAGGCAGTATCAAAACTAGGGCATATACAACATCACTTTAACACTATTAGGATATCTTTACTGCTAAGAAAAAGTAGCAAATGCTGCAGTTGCTTCACCAGGGAGGGCTTCCAGTGCTCTCTAAATGCCTGCCCTCTGTCAGGGACTGGTTCTGGTGTTCAGTCCCTTTATGACCTGCAGTGCCTGTCTCAGCCATGTCTTAAAATCTGCCCTGGCTGTAGCCAGCTGGAGCTGGATTAGAGATTTATCCCTTTCCTGGAGCTGTATATTGTTCAGAGAATCTCCATGAATTACACTCTTTGCTATAGTTAATTAGACAGCTGTTTATTAACCTGTGCAAGATGCTATATTGGAGAGTAATAAATCAGTTATTCAAATGTGGGCACAAAGATCTGTAACAAGATTGGAAAAGTCACTTTGGGACAGGGGGACATAACTGTTTATATTCAACTGCACCTTCATCTCTGAAACAACCTTCTTCATTCAAAGAAAGTTGTTGTGGACCAGAACACTTGGAGCAGGGTTCTTACATTTACAGGCAGCAATCAGAAGATGCTGCGGATAGATCTAAGGATGAACTGTGTGGACTGCAGTGGGATCTGACACCACCTTGATGAATTCCGTAAGTCTTCTGCAACCAGAGAAGGTGGATGTGTGAGGATCTCAGGAGAAGAAAGGTCCCTATTCCAGCTGACTCTTAGCGTTCCCTGTGCAATTTGTGTTATGCACATACCCTCTGGGCTCCATCTTCTTTTTTTAGGAAGCATCTGTGTCCACGAAATCTGGGAGATCCCCTTCTTTGTATAGTAGCCCAGCTGTTCATAAGCAACCTCTTCTACAAACCAGGGGCAGAGCACTCAATAGAGTACCTCTAACGTTATTTAAGTGCCAAAACTGTTTTGTCCTCTGAGTTACCATTGACAGCTCATGAAAGAGGTTAATAAATAGATTGTGCTGCAGTTGTGAGGGGCTGTGTGTTGTTTTCCACTGAAGAACCTGTGGCCAATTTTCTCATGTGGCTGTATATCAGTATTTTGATCTATACTGAACTAAGCCAGTTGTAAGATTAACAGAATAATTCATTTTTAGAATGGCTTAGACCCTAAAACATGTTACAGGTGTATTGGAACCAGCATTACTTTATTCACCATCAGAACGAAAAGTAAGCAGCTCTCTGAAAGGTGCACTGGACAAGTAAAGGATATTTTCCTATTTTAGGACTGAACCTATTACATCAAACAGTCTCAGGGACTTCATGTACCGCTATCACAATCCAGCAGTGCCATTTCAATGGACTTTTTGATATTTTAAATCAGGGCTGTCCAACTAAAATAAAGGAGCTGGGGACCACATACCCCCTTGGAGGACATTAGGAAGAGCTGCACCAGCAAGGTCCATGGACCCCAGAGGCTGCATGCCCCTCCTCTGGTGCACCAGGCACCCCTGCTGCAGCATTCCATTTCCCCCCACTACATCATACACCCTGATGCTGCACCCCAGGGTCCTCGGCCACAGTGTGCCCTGTCACCCTGACTCACTCTTAGCTCTGCTGCTATAGCATGCCACTTAGGCACCCCAGGCAGCTGATTTCCCTAGTACCAAAGACTGTGTTCAGTTGCACTGCCCTGGCCCTTGGGCAGAGGCAGGAGCAGGAGGAAGGGGGAACCTAAAGCTGAAGCAATAGTGGGAGCAGTAACTGGGTAGGAGGTTGGGGGCTGCTGTTTAATCCCCACAACAGGCTGCCAGTTGAACAACGCTGTTTTAGATCAATTCAGGGAGCATAGTTTCGGTCCATTTCCTGCCACTAGTGCATGTACCAGGGGCTGAGAATCAATGCCATGCACTACAGAAAAATGGAGAGAGGTGTGATGTAGCAACCCTGGAATTTAGCTGGGACAGTGGTGCTAGCACTCATTTACAGAAAACCATCCTGAGATACCTACTACACAGAGGTCAGCCTTCTGGCATGAAAGCCAGCTTGAGCAGCACTGTATCTGCAGTGTTTCTTTTGGGGCACTGACTGATGCAACAGAGACCTTTGCAAGTCTCAACATTTCAGCAACTACTCTGCACAGGCAGCCTCGTTGAAGCCCAGAATGCGTTTGGCTGCAAGTTGTTTCTACACATTTGTTATCACCAGGCTGCCTTGAAGCATTCTACACATGCACAAGAGAGAGAGCAGGCCCGGTTGTGGTTAGCACTTCTCTAACCTCACGTCTGACTTCTACAAGTACTTGCAGCTCTGAGAGGGGTTAAGCTAATGTCTGTATCCAGAGAGGGGGTAGATGTATTTCACAGTCAGCAGCATGTGATTCAGTTCACACAAGCCTAAATTCCAGTGCATCACCACCTTTGACATTCAGCTTGAGATCATTTGGAAAGCATACATAAAAATAAAATGGGCCTTGTTAGTCTCAAAGTAACTATTTGACCAAGTAAAAGTTGAATTTTGGAAACAGTCTGGATGAGCAGGCCTGATACAGTTTTGGTACTGGAGAAACTCCCTGGGGAGAAGGGTGTGATTTGTTAATTCAAGTAATAATAGCAGTACAGTTAGTGTGGTCACAGTAATACCAATAGAGTCCATTTTCTTTCCTGTGTGGGAATAAACTACACTCCTATAAGAAGCCATATACTGTTGTTACTACATCCACATCAAGGACTGTACTAGAACTACAGCAGTGGCTAGAGTAGCATAGTTTATGTTTAGGAAAACCCTTTGGGCATCATAGTTACAGGGAGTAAAGAACAAAAGATCAAGCTGGTTTGCCAGTCCCTACCCTTCTCCAGCCCCTCTCCAAATCCCAGGGACTGGGAGAGGGACCCTCCAGCCTTCCAAAAAAGGTTTGAGAGTAGTTTGTCTTCTAAAATTAGAAGCAGCTGCTGTTTGCCAGGTTTACCAACTGAAAGAGAATTTATATTATTTGTGTATGTAAACCAAGCTGAAGGCCTTGTTGCTTCTGTCTCTTCCTATCAAAGCCAGCTATGCTATAAACATGAGGGAAGCTTTGGCTGAACTGAGGAGCTGAGCTGAAGTTCAGCTGAGGCATTGAGCTGTCACTCAGTCCTGTGCTTAGATTAAGGAGCTGACAGAGGAAACCAGTTGGCAAGAATTAAAATTGCATCCAATTGCTGCAAAACTCTTGCTGAACCTGTGCTAGCCCCAGAGGACTCCAAAGCCAGTGGTGGGTAGCAGATGGGAGCTCTGCTAAATGGAGACTATACAGAAGTTTGTCTTTATATTGTCCTGGATGACAGCCTCTCTTTGTGGTAAAGGGGCAGCAAGCATTGTAGAGAGGTTTGGAGTAGTAGCTTGCCCTTGTGTTGGGGGCCAATAGAAAAAGATAGAGACAGCTGTTGTGGCTACCTGATCCTCATGGAGTCACCTGGGGGGAAGTTTGTTTTCTCTGTCACCAGTTCTCCCACATATTGGCCTCCTTTAATTGTAGAAGCAATTTGCAGTTAAGGGTGAACTGCAAAGAAAAAGAATGGGCTTGTTATCCTTAAGACAAGTTTTCTAGGAGAGTATTTTTAAGGTCAGTTTCTTCTTTGTTGTCCCGCGTCCTTCGTGTGCACCCAGGCTGTGTAGAGGGCTGGGAATAAAGTAGGATTAAGAGCTTCCCAGCCTTTCAGTAAAGCTGGGGAAAGCCAGATCCTGTGATGCAGCCTAGCTATTAAGCAGTATCTCTGCAAGTTCTCAGCTGAATCCTTTCAATCCAAACATTTAACCCACAGGCAACATTTTTCTAAAGCTCTGAATATCCTTTCCAGAATACTGAGGCTTTGTCTATAACAGGGCTGTCCAACTGGTGGTCTATGGGGTGCTTGTAGTCCAGGAAGAGTTAATTTGCAGCTCCCCGGCTTTCAGCAGAGGGATACTCCCCTTCATCATTCTCTGGGTTTCCCCTCCCTCCTCCAGCTTCTA